AAAAAAAAAAAAAAAGAAATAAAAAATAAACAGTAGAGTAAAACTTCTAAAATGTGTATTGCCATTAATATAAAAAGTGTTTTTTTACCACACAATCCATTCTATTAATTCAAGTTAATCCAAGAACTCTTGCTATAGAAGTAAGTGGCCAACCAGACATACTAGAATGGACAAACAGTTCCCTCTGATAGCTTGTGACTGTAAGGCACAGAATATAAAACTTCTAATTATATTTAAAAGTATAGCTCTTTTAAGGGAGTTGTTAATACTAAGGTAAATGGGTTTTATTTTGATCTGCTGCATGTCTTTATCTTTTGTATAAGATTTTGTATGAAAAAGAAGGTCCATGACTTAAGTTGGGAAAGGTCATCCCCAACACTTTATGAGGAGATCCTTTTGAATTGTCACTGTTTGGGTACCTGTCCTGTCTGGAAAAACTCAAGCAAAAGGTGGAATACCCAGGTTTAGTCTGAAATTTTAGTACCTATTTCAGTTTTCCCTACTATGGGAGGGTAACAAGTCACCTATAAGAAAGCCCTTAGAGCCTCCAACTGGTAGAAGACATGGCCAGCTGCTTTGCAGTTGAAGCACATGTACTTGCACAAACCTCTGCTCCTAAACCACATCTTCTGTAGAATGTTGACTGGTTGAGACTTCTGACAGTGGAGCAACATGTTCCTAACTCGTATTTCTCTGTAGGATTACCTCAGCCTCTCTTGGAACTCAATGATGCGCCTGTCTACAAAACAGTCTTGGAAAGAATGCAGCATTTCTTCTCCACCCTCTATGAAAACTGGTAAGGAACCATTACTGCCTCTCTGTATTTCCTTTGTAGATATGTATTATATAGGAATGGCCATCTATTGAATTTTTGATCTAGAATTTAGTATACAGTTAAGGTAAGTCAGGAAGGTAAAACAGGAAAATAACAATAAGCAGCCTGGCTCGGTGCCCATAGTTCAGTGAGTAGAGTGCCGGCCACATACATACACTGAAGCTGGCAGGTTCAAGCCTGGCCAGGGTCTGCTAAACAGCAGTGACAACTGCAATCAAAAAATAGCCAGGCATTGTGGCAGGCACCTGTAGTCCCAGCTACTCGGGAGGCTGAGGCTAGAGAATCACTTAACCCCAAGAGTTTGAGATTACTGTAAGCTGTGACGCCACAGCACTCTACCGAGGGCAACATAATGAGACTGTCTCAAAAAAAAAAAAAAAATGAACAGCCTGCTTTCCTGCATTTGCTTTTATATAATTGTCTGTGAGCCTCACAATCCTACTCATGACTTGATGTTTCATGCCCAACTTGTCTGTTTCTAGTATATAAAATGATGAGGCCCATGTAGAAGATAAGTGGTAGAGATGTATTTGCTCAGATTCCTCAGTCCTTGCAGCATACTTCCCACGGGATTGTGGGAGGTGCTAGTCAGGATTTTGTCTTCAGGTCCTGGTTATGGGATGGGGAGGTAACTGACCTTCACACACAATATCCAGGGTTTTGACCTCACTAACCCAGTGCTCTGATCATCCAAATTAACGAGGTCCTCTATTGTAAGTCCACATTACATAATAATGAAAGCTACTATTTATCTTGCCTACCAACATCTCTCTTTACAAAGATGCTCTATCTGGGGCAGCGCCTGCAGCTCAGTGGGTGGGGCACCAGCCCCACATACCAAGGGTTGCAGGTTCAAACATGGCCCCGGCCAGACTGCAAAAAAAAAATGGCCAGGTATTGTGGCGGGCGCCTATAGTCCCAGCTACGTGGGAGGCTGAGGCGAGAGAATCACCTAAGCCCAGGAGTTGGAGGTTGCTGTGAGCTGTGTAATGCCACGGCACTCTACCAAGGGTGATAAAGTAAAACTGTCTCTACCAAAAAAAAAAAAAAAAGATGCTCTATGCTGTCAAGAAGTTTTGGGCCAGGCAATGTGGCTCACACCTGTCATCCTAGCACTTTTGGAAGCTGCAGTGGGAGGATACTTGAGGCCTGGAGTTCAAGCAAAGCCTAAGCAAAGCCAAGACCCCATCTCCAGAAAAAAAATAGAAAAATTAGCTGGGCATTGTGGCATGAGCCTATAGTCACAGCTACTGAGAAGGCGGAGGCAGGAGAATTGCTTAAGCCTAGGAGTTTGAGGTTGCAGAGCTATGATGACACAGTACCTGGGCAACAGAACAAGATCTTGTCTCAAAAAAAAAAAAGGGTAGGCGGGGGTAGAACCATTTTGTTTTCACTTTTTGTTGTTTTTGTTTTGAGAGAGTCTCCCTTTTTGCCCTTGGTAGAGTGCCGCGGTATCTTAACTCACAACAACCTCAAACTCTTGGGCTTAAGCGATTCTCTTGGCCTCAGCCTCCCAAGTAGCTGGGTCTACAGGCACCTGCCACAATGCCTGGCTATTTTTAGAGATGGGGTGGGGTCTTGCTCTTGCTGTTGCTCAGGCTGTTCTCGAATCTGTGAGCTCAGGCAATCCACCCACCTTGGCCTCCCAGAGTGCTAGGATTATAGGTGTGAGCCACCACACCTGGCTATTTTCACTTTTGGTAAAAAAATTAAGTCCACATCTTTAAAATTAAAGTTTTTTTAAGAGTAACTACAATTATTTTTCTAGCTGAAAAATCTTACTGTATACTAGAAATGAAATTCTTTGAGTAGTCAGGGCTGGCAATAGCAGATATTGGATGACGTTACCAAGTTTTTTTTTTTCCTTACAGTTTTCACATCCTAGGAAAGGCAGGCCCTTCCATGCAGCAAGACTTCTACACCGTGGAGGACCTTGCTACCCAGCTGCTCAGCTCAGCCTTCATCAACTTGAATAATATTCCTGATTACCGACTCAGACCCATGCTTCATATCCTTTCAAAAACCACTAAGTAGCTGACTGTGGTAGCATGTGCCTATAATTCCAGCTACTCACAAGGCTGAAGTAGAAGGATCACTTGAACCCAGGAGTTTGAGACCAGCCTGGGCTACATAGCAATATGCTATCTTCTTTTTTATTTTTATTTTAAGGTAGAATCCCCTGTGTTCCCTGGGTTAGGATGCAGTAGCCATCATCATAGCTCACTGCAATCTCAAACTTCTGGGCTCAAGCAATCTCCTATCTCAGCCCCTGTTGAGTAGCTTGGGACTACAAGCACACATTACTGTACCCAGCTAATTGTTCTATTTTTTGTGACGACATAGCCTTATTCTTGCCCCAAGTGATCTTTTCACCTTAGCCTCCCAAAGTGCTAGGGTTACAGTCATGAGCCACCATGCCTAGCCGAAAAATATTTTAATTAAAAATCCATTGATAACCCCAAAAGTCATAGAAACCAGAAGGAGGCAGAGCTGAAAGGAAGAAATGGGATTTTGTATCTAAATGCATGGTAATCTTATTAAACAGACAGGAAGATTACATGTTTTTTATTGTTATTTCAGTCTTCCTGTAGCAAGAAGGCTTTTAAGACCCCTCTGGACTGCCTGCATGTTTTTCTTGCTGCTTATTTCAGGCAGTCCAGAGGGATGTTAAAAGTTCTTTCTACTACTGTATATTTTTCCTTAGGGGTAAATGTTTATCTTCCTACTTAATGGAAATAGGAAAGATGAGGCTTTTACATAGTATGCCTTGGTCGTATTTTGTCAGGTACTCCCTTTTAGAGGAAGCCCTTTTAAACTTCATTCTCCTTCTGGCCCCCAGAATGCTGAAGAAGAGTTTAACACAAAGGTGTCCTCCTTCCTTTTTTTTGCCTCCCTACTTTTGAGGCAACCCAGTGAACATAAATATGCACCCTGGTGGAAACGACACTTGAACTAAAAATATAATGGAACTGGGTATCAGTGTGGCTTAGGATTTTAGGAAAAGAACTTGAAGATTTTTTCGTTATTAACACAGGATGTTTGTGGCCTCTTGCAAGTCATTTAGGGGTTGATCTGCTCAGGGGTGCAACCTGCCACTTGGCAGGTGAGGGGTATGTGCTTATGTGCTAAAACTACTTAACTTACTGCAGCACGAGTCTTTGTGAAGCCTCTGGTGCTCTTCTGTCCCCCAGAGCACCATGAAACTCTGCTATCTCCCATCCTTGGACCTCTTTTCACCTACCTCCACGTGGTAAGAGATAGGTCCACTTGGGATGGGGGGCATTTTTGAGCCTCATGAGTTAGGAGCTCCTGAAAGTGTTTTCTCCTAGCCCTGTCAAGTTGGCTGCTCCAAACCTCACATTCCAGCAGACTGTCTTTGCTGTACTGTATTTGAGCAGCAAAGAACTAAATTGATTTGATTGCCATGAAGCACCTTCAGATGCAGGTTCAGCTCCTAACCTGTTAGCTGAAGAAGGGTAGTCAGGGGAATGCTTCCCCTCAGTCTGTTTCCTTGACTCTGGAATTAAGCAGAGGGAGCAACTGGAATAAATGCATCTAGATACCCAGGGATTCTACAAATGAGCTTCTTTCTAAGCAAAGGTGTTTGATATGCTGTCCTTATCATGGGCATGGGATAAGTTATGGAAATCATATCTTTCTTTTTAACCTTTGGGTGTACTGAGGCTATCATATTGATACGTGGAATGATCCTTGTCTAATCATAAAATGGACCTTAGATATCACATGTTCCAGTCTTCTCTCCAACTTAAGTATTTATTTCCTTTGTGTTTTCCCAGAGGCTTTCTCAGAAATGGCAAGGCGTCAGCCAGACAAGTCTGCCGTGGTAAGTTATACCCATTCTCCTTGGTGGATGATCTGGTAGCATGGCTGGATAGGAGGAAAGAAGGGAGCAGGGATTCTGCTGGGCAGTGAGTTTTAGTCATTCTTAGCCTAGGGGGTAGATGGCTTGTCTGGATAGGCTGTGACCAATAGGCAGACTCTTGAGATTAAGCCTTCATAGGAGGTACCATTACTTTATCCCCTCAGGATTTTGTTTCTGTATACTCTATCCAACTGGATAGAGCCACTAGTAATAATATCCTTCACTGGGTCATTGCTTTCTACTCCCAACTTTTGCATGGAATATAAACCCAGAGGAGAAGTATGTTGGCACAGAGGGTCTGGTTAGGGTCACTGCTTTCCTTGTCTTTCCCTTTCCGTATTCCCAATGGAACTTGGTTCCCTGGTGTTCTGCAGTGGAGAAGATGAGACTGCAGATGAAAATCCTGAATCTCAAGAGATGCTGGAGGAACAGCTGGTGAGGATGTTAACCCGAGAAGTCATGGACCTGATGAGTAAGTGGCACCCAGGACCTGGGGTAGTGTAGAAGAATATTCATGGTAAAAGAGCTAGTCACTCAGCCAACCCTACAAAGACTAGATTGATGCAAAGATTCATGCTTATAGCAGTACTGGCAGATTGATAAGGAATAACTAGGCAGAAGCTAATCTTTCAGTCAACCTAAGGACATTTTATGAATTGTGAGCTAGATTGTACCAAGGACAGAACACAAAGAAATGGTCTAAAATAGCAGGAGGAATTTGGATTCATGTTAGGAATAACTTCCTGGTTTTGTCAAAAGAGGGAAAATTTTAAATTCATGGACATAGAAGTGGTTAATCATTTTCTCTGTTTTTGGAAATGTTAAAGGAAATGAATGTACTTGGTCATTTCATGTGTTTGAAGTCCAAAGTAGACCAGATCTGGCACCTCTCTAGTCACTCTCAGAGAAGTGTGTAATTTCCTTTAGCTAATAATACTTGAAGAAGGACCTAAATGCAGTCTGGTCAAGGTCATCAAAAATCCCTCTATTTCTATTAGTGGATTTTTGTGCCTTGGACAGTATACCATCCCCCCTCCTCACTCAGCCAGAGACAGTTAAGTGATTAGTCGGCCTGATGTGATAGAAAACGGTTGTTGTGGTAGTATATAAGCTTTCCTTCACCCAGTAACCCTGATTTCTTGCTTTAGCGGTTTGCTGTATTTCAAAGAGAGGTTCCGACCACAGTACTGCTCCCCCTGCAGATGGAGATGGTAAGTGAGCCTATTGTCTGACCCTTGGAGGTCTGCTCTTAGCCTCCTAAATATTATTCCTTCTGAACCTGGTCGGTTCCTATAGCAACTGTTTTCCCTAGTAGTGTAACCATGATATGTCTTCCATCTGACTATTATCTGTGCCGGCCCTCTTGCTCTTTTTCCCCCTCATACTCCTACCTAAGAGCCTTTGCACTTGCTGTTTCCTGTCTCAATTCTAGAATGATTCTTTCCCAACTATATACTTGTCCTCTTCCCTTGCTTCATTGAGGTCTCTGCTCAAATGTCACCTCCTATGAAAGGTCTTCCATGGTCAACGTAGCAAAAATAGCAACCCCAGCAACTCTCTATGTTCTTTCTCTGTTTTATTTTTCTTTGTAGAACTTACCACTTTCTGACATTCTGTTTCATTTATATATTCATTTATTACCTGTCTCCCTCATTAGAATGTAAGCTCCCATTAGGGAAAGGATTATTATCTCCAGTAACTAAATCAGCGCCTGTTACAGTAGATGTTCACTTACATGTTCAATGAGAGAGCCTCAGCATTGGCACCTTTTGAAGTTACTGCCCAGCACCTCCCTTGTATCCCACATACATAACTAACAGGCTTCTACATTCTTTTGTGAGAGGAATGTCCTACAACTACTCAGGTACCAGTTAGCCTAGGATATTTAACTTTGCTTTGATTTTTGGACTTCTGTCAAAACAGGATATTCTTTCTATTCTGAAAGGATAGAGCTTAACATTCCCACTCTCTACTTACAGATGAAGAGATGATGGCCACAGAGTCAACCCCCTCACCCACCCCAGAGCTTACAGATCTGGGCAAATGTCTGATGAAGCAGGAGGTAGGTGGAGTGGGCAGGTGATATCTTCTCTTCTTGCCTACCTGGAGAGCCAGCGTCTATTTTTCTCATTCTAGGATATCATCAGAAGAGTGTTTTGTTTTAGTGCTCCTTTATATAAGTTCCTGGTTTCTAAAGTCCCCAGGAAAAAAAACAAGGGGAAAGGAACAAGGCCATCGTGTGTCCCATACCAGTGTGGGCATAGGTTCTTAGAAAAGCACCCAGGCACACTGATGCAAATCCCTGGTGTTTAGCACTTCCCCTAAGCCTGAGCTAAGTGTTTACCACTTCCCCTAAGCCTAAGCTCTCTTCTACACATAGGTTTTCTATTACATATTATTGTCTTCTTTTTGACTTCCTGGTAAACAAAATTAGAAGTAAACTCACTTCTTTTCAGTAGAATTGTCAGAGCCAGGTGTGGTGGCTTATGCCTGTGATACTAGCACTCTGGGAGGCTGATGGATTGCATGAGCTCAAGAGTTTGAGAACACCCTGTTCTAGAGCAAGACCCCGTCTCTAAAAATAGCAGGGCGTTATGGCAGGTACCTCTAGTCCCAGCTCCTTGGGAGGCTGATGCAACAGGGTCACTTGAGCCCAGGAATTTGAGGTTGCTGTGAGCTATGATGCCATGGCATTCTACCAAGGGTGACAAAGTGAGACTGTCTCAAAAAAACGAATTGCATGTTTTCCCATAGTAATCCTTCCTCCTTTCCTATTCAGGATGTTTGTACAGCACTATTAATTACAGCGTTCAATTCCCTGGGCTGGAAGGATACTCTGTCCTGTCAGAGGACAACCACACAGCTCTGCTGGCCTCTCCTCAAACAAGTATGGTTACTCACCCCCTTCCCTTTCCCTCCATCCCCCATGGAAGGTTTGGGTCATAAAGATTAACTGAACCACTTAGAAGAATTTGGGTACTAGGGCCTTCAAAGAGGTCCCCCGTGTTCCTGAGCATAGTTGTCTCTCCTCAGGTGCTATCAGGGAAACTGCTCGCAGATGCTGTTACGTGGCTTTTCACCAGTGTGCTGAAAGGCTTACAGACACACGGGCAACATGACGGGTGCATGGCTGCCCTGGTCCACCTGGCCTTTCAGATATATGAGGCGCTGGTAAGCACACGCAGGATGGCTGCAGCTTTATTGTGCATCACCTGCTCCCAGTCTCTTAGGCCTTATCCTAAATGTAGGCATCTGGCCAATTTGCTAGTGGTACCTTTAAGAGATGGGTGGGATGTGGCAGGGAATGGGGAAGGTGAGGAGGGTGGCAGTGTCCAAACTTAAATCAAGTAAGTTTATCTTCACACTTAACAGCGCCCTAAGTACCTGGAAATAAGAGCTGTTATGGAGCAAATTCCTGAAATACAGAAAGACTCTCTGGACCAGTTTGACAGCAAGCTTTTGAACCCCACCCTGCAGAAAGTGGCTGACAAGCGCCGGAAGGACCAATTCAAACGCCTCATTGCTGGTTGCATTGGGGTAGGTCATGCATTTTTATTAGTACTCTCAACCTCTCCTAAGCCCGAGCAAACCAGAAACCAACTGAAGTTATGGAACATTATGGTAGAATGATCTTTAACCCACTAGTCAAGGTCTAGCATTAGTTAGTTCTTCGTCATTTCATTTGTTTTCTACAGAAACCCTTGGGAGAGCAGTTCCGAAAAGAAGTTCACATTAAGAATCTTCCTTCACTTTTCAAGAAGACAAAGCCAATGCTGGAGACAGAGGTGCTGGACAACGAGGGGGCTGGCCTGACCACCATCTTTGAACCATGAATCAAGCTTTTGGGCATCCTTCCTCAGCCTTTATTGTCATCTCTTCTTCCCCTTCATAGCTAATCTCTAGGCCCTACTCACACTGCCACCTCACTTTCCACCATTATCAGCCTGGAGAAATCCAGGTCTGGAGCTGGAGAGAGTGGGCCCTGTGCAGGACCAGAAGTAATTATACTGCGTTTCAAGAGAGGGAGTTAGGGTTTACACCAGTGGTTCTCAACCTGTGGGTCGCGACCCCTTTGTAACAATGAAAATACATCTTGCATATCAGATACTACATTACGATTCGTAACAGTAGCAAAATTACAGTTATGAAGTAGCAACGAAAATAATTTTATGGTTGAGGGTCATCACAACATGAGGAACTTTATTAAAGGGTTGCGGCATTAGGAGGCATTAGAAAGGTTGAGAACCACTTGGAGTTTTGGCTTTTCCACAAAAAGCTAGAGCAGAGCTCCCCAAGCCTTCCCAACTCCAAGCAGCCAAACACCTGTGCAGAATGGTAACCAGGGGTGCTATACCCAACACTGTAACTAGCCAGGTTTGTGGCAAGGTCTCAGCCCTCAATTATTTGTGCCAGACTTAACACTGCAAGTCTCTCTGAGCCCCCTTGCTGGTGAGCTGAAAGGAACCATCCCCACTCCTCAGGGGCATGTCTGGGTTGGGTGCTAAGTGCTAAAGTGAATTTGACCAATTCCCTCAACTTGTTTTGGGCAAGAATCTGATCACCTGATGGGATCCATGGTATAGGCTACACTACTTAAACTCTGGGCACAGTTATCAAGTATAGTACCTCCAGGGACAAGGGCTGGGCAGTCTTTAATGGTGATGTCCCCTTAGAGTTCTCACATCTTTCCATGAATGACCCTTCAATCTGGTTTCCCCCACCTCAGGGCCCACTCAGGCACGAGAGCCACAGTACCCTATCTTATGTCATGTGACACCAATCCAAGGATAATCTAGACTAGCTAGGCTACATCTGTGACAAGTAGCTAGCAAAGCCACTGATCTATTCCTAGGACTACCTGAGTCCAGGTGCCTTCTAAGATCTCATGGTCCCTGGTTACTTTTCTCAAGGGCCATTTCCAAAAGAAAAAATATATATGCCTTCCCATTACTGTCTGTACTTTGAGTCTATCCTAGAGGTCACTGGAAGGCCCTGTAAGCATAAGACATGTATATGGCACCTATCCCTGAGATTATTACTGGTAGCCATAAAACAGGATTAGTCCATATAGAAACCATAGAGTATATGTCCATGTACTCTGCACAGACAAGCTCATCATCCCTCTGATCTACTGATAAGAGGGTTTCAATGAGAGCCAGAATGGACTGAAGCTACATTGACCTGGTGCCAGGCCACAGGCAGGGTAAGGCTAGAAAGCAGCAAAGCTGGGGAAGCAGAACTTAGGTGTCTCATATTGTAGCTCTGCTACCGGACTTGTCCCTGTTCCCTCTTCCTGTGCGGTGCTTTGGGTTTCTGTAGATTATGAAAGTGACCTCGAGAGTGTTTCCCTCCAAACCTGATAGCTGCCTACTCCTGTTTGGGGCGGTGGAGGGTGTAGTTATATTTATTGTGTTGTAATATTTTTAACATCCTGTGACTTCATGCTAGAAATTTTCTATTGTTTATAGAACCTTTTTGTAGAAACATTAACTCTGAAGCACATCTGCATGACAGTAAAAATCTCAATTTCATATACAAAGGGCCCCATCTGCCTTTTTCTTTGCTTTTTTTTTTTGGAGAGACAAGAGTCTCATTTTGTCACCCTTAGTAGAGTGCCATGGCATCACACAGCTCACAGCAACCTCCAATTCCTGGTCTTAGGCGATTCTCTTGCCTCAGCCTTCTGAGTAGCTGGGACTACAGGTGCCTGCTGCAACACCCAGCTATTTTTTTGTTGTAGTTTGGCCAAGGCCAGGTTCGAACCCACTACCCTTGGTATATGGGGCCAGTGCCCTACCCATCTGCCTTTTTCAAATCAGTCTTCACAGCAGAGATATTCCAGCGTTATTTCCTCATAAGCATCCAAAGGGGAGTAGACAGGGACACCTCACTGTCAAGCTCGGTGAAATAGTATGCCAGTTAGAGGGTTTCTATTCCTGACTGCCTAGACTAGGCATCCCATAACATTCTCAGTGTCTTGCATGTGTGGCTCCTGGGCCTAATTTCCACAGACCATCCAAAGGGAACTGCTGCTATTCTTTGACAAAGTGGCACATTTACTCTGGCTCCTTGAATGTTTTTCTAGGGTTTTGCTGTGTCCCCCAGAAACCACTTCAATTTGGCATTTCTCAGGATACTTTTCCAAAGGGCTTAGTCCTAACCTGCAGTGACCCAGTAGGGTTTGGTTTTTTGGAGACAGGGGTATTCCTCTGTCACCTGCCTGCCTGGGCTAGAATACTGGTGTTATCACTGCTCACTGCCAACCTCTAACTCCTAGGTTCAAGTGACCCTCCTGCCTCAGCCTCCTTAGTAGCTGGGACTACACGCAAGCACAACCATGCCCAGCTAATTTTTCTGTTTGTAGAGCTCAGGCTGGTCTCAAGCGATCCTCCCAAAGTGGTAGGATTGCCTGGCCTGGGCCCAGTGTTCTTAACTGCCAAATGCCAAACCCATTCTGAGATGAAGCCCAAGTAGCCTCTGAAAAAAATGTGTTTGACATAAATTTATTTACATCAAAGGCCTTACAAAGGCGTAAGTGTCATTCTGGGGCACATTTAACAAAATGTACTGATTAAAAATAAACTTGGAACTGTCCCAGGAAACTAGGGATCTCTAGTCATACTGGGCTTTCTATAGCAGTCCTATAGGGCAGATCAGAACACAAAGCTTCAGCATGCCTCAGGAGCATCCAAGCCCAGCCATCCACATTGATTCCAATGGAAACTTCAGTCCATCTGAACTGCTTCAAGTTCATCCAAGAATCGTTGGCACTTCCCCATGAGTATTTTGATGGCTTCGCTTACCAGCACATCCGGTGGCAACACACCCGTTGACTCAACAGAGACTGGGAATCAAAAAGATAGTTTTAGCTTAGGTAGAGCTTACATTCAAAAAGCTGTTGGGGGTAGAGCCTATGGCTCAGTGAGCAGGGCATCAGGCTCCTATACCAAGGGTGGTGGGTTCAAACCCGGCCCTGGCCAAACTGCAACAAGACTATAGATGGTGGGCATCTATAGTCACAGCTATTTGGGAGGCTGAGGCAAGAGAATCACCTAAGCCCAAGAGCTGGAGGTTGCTGTGAGCTGTGACACCACCGCACTCTACCAAGGGTGTCAAAGTGAGACTCTGTTTCTTTAATTAAAAAAAAAAAAAAAAGTTCCTGTTGGCTCAGGGCCATAGCCAAGTGGTCACAGCTCCAGCCACATACACTGAGGCCGGTGGGTTGGAACCCAGCCCGGGCCAGCTAAACAAAGACAACTGCAACAAAAAAACAGCTGGATGTTTTGGCAGGCACCTATAGTCCCAGCTACTTGGGAGGCTGAGGCAAAAGAATCACCTAAGCCCAAGAGCTGGAGGTTGCTGTGAGTTGTGACACCACAGCACTCTACTGAGGCCAATAAAATAAGACTTTGTATAAAAAAAAAAAAAACTTACAGATTATCCCTATATTCCATATCTATACTCTACGTGCACCTACCCCAACCACCACCACTTTGCCACTTTATACTCACAGATATAATGGTCCCGAACCCGGGCAAGCTGTACAATCTTTTTTAGCTTCTCGTGCCGGAAAATTTCCCTGCTGAAGGTGTCTAGCCGGGGATTGACAACTCTAGCCACCTTTTTGCCTAATAGAAACAAATTGTTATAGTGTTTTTTGGAGTCCACAGAGTTTTTATATTCCTCTCTGCCACCTTCAAAGAAAATGTTACTTTAGACCTGACCCAAAGAACATCCTAAATATCATACCTTGGATTTCCTGCACCTCAATAACACCAGGTGAGAAGCACTGGCTTAACTCCTCAGCTGCTTCCCCTTCCACAGGCTTAAGCAGGGTGATGTCTGGCAGGAGCCTGTAACTGGCTGTTGCCACTGGTGAAAATTTGGCATGATCTTTGCCTGGAGGGAAAAGGGCTATCTCGCCATTTGACAGCAAAAACACAAAACTCATGGCTTTCTGCCTTTCAACTGAGTTCTTTAGTCATACCCCACTGCAAGCTAACTACCTCCCTGCCCAGGGCAGGCCCACAGAGCTCTCACCAATCCCCTTGACACAGTGCATAAGCAGGTCAATCTCCTGGCCAGGCCGCAGCTGAGCAATGAGGATATCATCATGCACTGGTCGGATAGTGCCCTCTGGGAAAAGGTCAGCCTGGTTCCCCAGAGGGACCCACATCATGTGTCTGGTATACACTGGAGGAAAAATATGTCAAAGACCTCCATTTATCCATTTATAACACTAACAACCACCAGTGGATTGACCCTCTTCATCCTACTCACCTTTGTGGTTCACATAGAGTTCATTGGGATCTGAGGAGTCTTTAGCAGCATGGGGGTTCCTAGTACACCTGACTTGCAAACGAAACTGCAGAGTATCTATTTCTGTGCCTTCTTCATCTCCTGCACAAATAAAGGGTCCTCTTAAAACTAGCAAACATTTTGCCTGCCAGACACTATGCTGAATGCTTTACATATGTATTTCTCATTTAATCCTCTTGACAAACTAGGGAAGGCAAGGATGTATGTTCTCACAGATAAAAACACTGATATACCAAAAGATGAGTAACTTGCCTAAGGACATATAGTCAATTCAGGATTTGAACCCAAGCTGTCCACTTCCCTCAAAATTTCATTTTCTCAGACCCTCACCTTGGTTCCGATACTCAAACAGACGGGGATCAGCATGAATGGGAATAAGTCCCAAGCGATGAGCCAGGATTTCATCCTGGACAATGGATGTGTTGTTGTATACCAGGACCTTTTCCACAGCCATAGTTGGTACCTGCCGAAGGATAGAGAATCACTTGTCAGACTGGGAGCAGTGGCTCACATCTGTAATCTTAGCACTCTGGGAGGCCGAGGTGGGTGGATGGGCTGAGCTCACTAATTTGAATCCATCTCTAAAAAAATAGCTGGGCGTTGTGGCAGGCACCTATAGTCCTAGCACTTGGGAGGGTGAGGCAAGAAGATTGCTTGAACCCAAGAGTTTGAGTTTGCTGTGAGCTATGATACCATGGCATTCTACTGAAGGTGACAAAGTAAGACTCTTGTCTCTAAAAAAATAAAATAAAAAGAACCACCCATCTGCAAAACTTCAATAGACTCCCCACTTAATCACCAGCCTCCTGAGATAAGGCAATATCTCTTCCTAGAATGCTTAATGAAGTTTACAAAAGAATGAGGTGAAATGATCAGCAAAATTCCAGGAAAAATAAGGGAGAGGGATAGCTTGGGACACTTAATTCTACAAGTGAGGTAATGGTAACAGTTTCCCACACAACTCCAGCCTGGCCACAATGCCTGCCAATACCTCAGCTAATAGGATCCGTCGGAAAGCATTGGCAATGGCTGCATCAATTCCCACCATGTCAAACTCCAATGTGTTTTCATCCATGTGTACCACATCCACACGAAAATTCTAGAGGGACAAGAAAAACATGCAGTAAATAAAGCCTCGTCTCTGCGACCAAAAGCTGTCTAAACCTCTCCACCAATCATTTCCCTCAACTATTATTATAATCTCATCCAAAAACCTCCTTTTGCCCAGATGTCTGTTCCCCCACAATCCTTAAGATTGTTAAAAAATTGTTTTTGTCTTCCATTTATTAAAACCCTATGCAATGTGGCTTCCAACCAACCGCCCACAGAAGCTTTTCTCTGAAGAACAGAAACTTCCATATTGCTTAGTCCAGTTGACAATACTCAGTCCTGGATGTGAGGGCGATCTGGCTATGACATCTGTCACCCCATTGATCGCCAGGGTTGACAATACTCAGTCCCTATCTTACTGGACTTCTCTGTTACACTTGGCATGGTTGATAAAAATTCCTCCTTTTTCAAGCTATTCCCTTGGTTTCTGAAAAATAATCTTCTCTGGTGATTCCTCAACATCTTCTACCCACCCCTAATTGTTATTATTTGCCAGCTTCTTGTCTCTCTCCCAGGTAACTTCAATCACACCCCTGGTTTTAGCAACTACCTGTACTGACAATTTCCAAAATTTTATCTCACTTCTGATCTCATTTCAAACATATAGCCTACTAGCCTGCTAGATCTCTCCACATGCACAAAACTGAATACATCATTATTCCTTTTCTCCAGACCCATTTCTCCTTATCACTGAATAACATCCATCAAAGCAGTTCCCTAAGCTAGAAGAACATTTTACACTCTCCCCCAGAGCCCTTATCAAAACTATCACAATTTACCTTCTATCCTTCCTTCTGTTCTATTTCCACCATTATTGTCTTAAAGCCTTCAACCTCAATCTAACAGATTTGCTTGTCCGGTATGATCCTTCTCAAATTTCATTCTCTCAAAACTATCAAGGTTTAAAATCTGATGGTATTTGCTTAAGAACTGTTCAAAAACCATGACCTATAGTGCCCAAGACCAACTCCAATCATGCCTACCGCTAGTGTCGGCCAACTTATTAACATGTTTGCAGTCAGAGAACGCTTCACACAACTCTTTATAGTTGAGCTCCTCACCATTCACTGTTCTCAACTTTTACTCGTTCAAGATTCAATTTGGATGTCACCTCCTCATGAAACATTACACACACAAGCCTCTGGAAACAGTCTAACTTGGCCTGGACACCGATCCCCTAGCGCTGTATAAAGCTCAATGAGCTTTATACAACAGAGGCCCCAAGCGCTGATTCTGAAGCCCAAGCTGCTCAGATCACATGGTTTGGCCTCACCCGCCACCTCTTGCCCTACCCACCTTCTCGAAGCGGTCCTGGTCCCAGGCATCATCATAACCGGAATAGTTTCCAGGAAAGTCTGTGGTATGAACCTAGAATAGAGAGACGAGTCTGTCTACAAAGAGGCAGCGAGCCCAAAACAATCCCCTTTCAGTTCCCAACCCATCCCTGTTCTGCTTTCACTGCTCCTCTTGAGCTCAACGCCACAAGTCTTACATTGCGAACTCCGAACTCCCCTAGAACCACGCGGTTCCGCATCTCCTCCACAGCCTGAACTGCCGCCATTTTCAACTCGTCCACGGGACCAGGGCCTCAAACTGGCGCGTGCGTTCTAGTAGCGCTCCTCCATCTCCACGGCAACCCACAGCCTCTTGTTATCATAAATATCGCGAGAATTTGCCCCGCCTCTGTCACGTCCCCAGCTTCCGGAAGTCAGTTTTAGCCAAACATCCGGGTTTCTCTTTTTTTATGTTCCGGCTGGTGCCACCTCTTTCTTCACTTGGGACATCTCCCTGCCTGTGGCCCGTATCCTATCCACTTTGCGCGAGAGGCTAGCGTGGGCTTCAGCGACGGGAGCCCTCGAGGGACATGGCAACTACGGCTGCGCCGACCGGCGGCGCCCGAAACGGGGCTGGCCCGGAATGGGGAGGGTTCGAAGAAAACATCCAGGTAATAGCCCCAGATATGCGGCTGCCAGCAACCCTAGGGTTGGCAGCCGTCTTGAAGTGTCGTCGGGATTCTCCCTTGGGGCCTGGAAGTCTGCTTCATTTGCAACACTCTTTTACTCTTTTGGGTCTTGTTGTTCATGAAAGTCAGTAGGATTAGTGCTGACCTGAAAGGTCCAGACTACCTCAGCCTGAGAGTCTGGGTTTCTGCGCCCTCCTGGGGCATTAGAAAGTGCTCTAGCTTTCGGAACAAGTTAGGAGGTTGGTCAGGGGCACGCATGGTGAGACTGGGACTGGGAGAAATTGACTGGCACTTGCTAAATGTATGCTGTGCAAGTAGTCTTGTTTGGGGGTTGGGTGAGAGAGGAAAAGTGCACTTTGGCAACCTTTTGAGGCATGAATAAGGAAGGTAGAAGAAAGACATGAATGGAAGATGAGTAGGTTAGAAGACAAAACCAAAGCTAGCAATCAAGGGTTCTGGAGGGAAAAATGGATGGTAACAGAGAGGCATGATTTTTAGTGATTCTAAGCCATATCCTCAGCAGTGGAAGAACATAGGTGAGAGGACTTCTTTATAGTTGAGCAGAGGAGGACTTAACAGATGGAACATAAAGATCCTGGGCTCTAAGAGTTATTGTCTTCACAGGGTGGGGGCTCAGCTGTGATTGACATGGAGAACATGGATGATACCTCTGGCTCCAGCTTTGAGGATATGGGTGAGCTGCATCAGCGCCTGCGGGAGGAAGAAGTAGATGCTGATGCAGCTGCTGCTGAAGAAGAAGATGGGGAGTTCCTGGGCATGAAGGGCTTTAAGGGGCAGCTCAGCCGGCAGGTGGCTGATCAGGTAAGCAAGATTGAATCCCCAACAGGTGGAAAAGTTTATCTAGGCATGTCCCATGTTGGTGATGATGTTTGCTCCGGGTCATCTAGTTAGAACCATGTAGAAATGGAACAGAAAATAGGCAACAAGGTCTAGGGCCACAAATCTTGTGATACCCATCCCCATCTTCCTTACTTCAGATGTGGCAGGCAGGAAAAAGACAAGCTTCCAGGGCCTTCAGCTTGTACGCCAACATCGACATCCTGAGACCCTACTTTGATGTGGAGCCTGCCCAGGTGCGAAGCAGGTGAGGATCCTTCTCCTGAAGAAGCTTCCCTCCTAATACCTAGACCTTCACCCAAACTACAACCAGATTTCAAGCTTTGGGCCTGGTGGACTCTCCCTCTTCGTGACTCTGTCACCCCTCATCACCCCACTTGTCAATGTGATAACACATCACTTTCTTCCTCTTTTCCCTAAAACTTAGCTCAAATGTCACATCCTTTATTCCATATTTCTTCAACCCTATTCTGTTTGTTCTTTCCTGGTGCTTCTATAGAACTCTGCATTTTCCTCTAATAGCACCTCAGCAGTTCTATACTTTCTTATTCCTGAATCTGTCCTCCTAGCAACCAACAACTCCCCAAAAGCAGGTTCTCTCTCTCTCTTTTTTTTTTTTTTTTTGAGACAGAGTCTCACTTTGTTGACACTGGTAGAGTGCCATGGCATCATACCTCACAGC